TCAAACTCAACAACCTCAAGAGGCGCCACTAAGGAGATCCACTAGAGATAGGAGAAACACTATTTCAGATGATTATATAGTATTTCTCCAAGAACATGAGGATGGCGTTGGTTTGACTGAGGATGACCTGGTCACAATTGGTCAAGCCATGCATAGTTGTAACTCTCAAAAGTGGATAGACGCCATGAATGATGAGATGAAGTCTATGAGTGACAATGATGTTTGTGATCTTGTCGAATTGCCTAAAGGTGCGAAACCCATTGGTTGTAAATGGATATTTAAAACCAAAAGGGATTCTCAAGGCAATATCGAAAAATATAAGGCTCGTTTAGTCGCCAAAGTTTTCACTCAAAGAGAAGGCGTTGACTACAAAGAGACTTTCTCTCCGATTTCGTCGAAAGACTCTTTTAGGACCATTATGGCACTTGTAGCTCATTTTGATTTAGAGCTACACCAGATGGATGTAAAGACCGCTTTTTCTCAATGGCGATATTGAGAAAACAATTTATATGAAGCAGCCTAACAACTTTGTGTCTGGAGACCCAAAGTCTATGGTATGCAAACTAAAGAAATCCATCTACGGTCTTAAGCAGGCATCTCGTCAATGGTATCATAAGTTTAATCAAGTTATCACCTCTTTTGGCTTCGAGGTAAATGTCATTGAGACTGTGTATACTATAAGTTCAGTGGGAGTAAATATGTCTTTTTGGTTTTATATGTCGATGATATTCTTCTTGCAAGCAATGATATAGGCTTATTGCACGAAACCAAGAGATTTCTGACGAAGAAATTCGAAATGAAAGATCTTGGTGACGCCTCTTTTGTATTAGGGATCCAAATACTAAGAGATCGTTCTCAAGGTATTCTTGGATTATCACAAAAGAGCTATATCGATATGGTTTTAGGAAGATTCGGCATGAAAGGTAGCAAACCACTTGACATCCCTGTGTCCAAGGGACAAAAATTCAGTCTCAAACAGTGTCCCAATAGATCATGAGAAAATTGAGATGCAAAAGATTCCTTATGCGTCAGCAGTAGGAAGTCTTATGTATGCTCAAGTTTGTACTCGTCCCGATATAGCATTTATAGTGGGAGTTTTGGGCAGATATTTGATCAATCCAGGAGAGTAACATTGGAAAGCAGTCAAACACGTAATGCGTTATCTATAGAGAACAATGGATTACATACTCACTTATCGAAGGTCGGAGAGCTTGGAGATCGTTGGATACTCTGACTCCGATTTTGCTGGATGTCAAGATAACAAGCGCTCCACATCAGGATATGTGTTGACTCCGATTTTGCTAGATGTCAAGATAGCAAGCGCTCCACATCAGGATATGTGTTTATGCTGGCTGGAGGGGCTATTTCTTAGAAGTCTGCAAAACAGACTCTCGTAGCCTCCCTACCATGGCGGCGGAGTTCATTGCTTGCTACGAAACTTCCAATCATGCGATATGGCTGCAAAATTTTGTCTCTGGGCTGCGTGTAGTGGATGGCATTGAGAGGCCGCTGAGGATATATTGTGACAATAATTCGGCCGTGCTTTACTCCAATAACAACAGAAGTTCTACGAAGTCAAAATTCATTAACATAAAGTTTCTTCTTCTTAAGGAGAGAGTTCAGAATAGGCAAATTTTTGTAGAACACATAGGAACAGACAGTATGCTAGCAGATCCACTAACTAAGGCATTAACACCTAAAATGTTTCATGAGCATACTGCTTATATGTGTGTTGTTTTGGATGTTGCCCTAGTTTAGTGGGAGTTTATGTTCTATGTGTTGAACTTCAGTATGGATTATTTGGTTTTTTGCAGAATAAACTTGAAGGTTTTGATTTATCTTTGAACTCACTTAAGTTATTTTTTCCATATTGTGATATTTTACATTATGGATTGATCTCCATAAATAATGAAGTTGGACCAGTTGGAAAAAGACATGTTAAAGATCACATTGAATGTAATTTCCATGCCACTCACCATATATGATCTATGTCATTCAGGGCCTGCCCTGGGCCAGGGTAGGCTGGGCAACGGCCCAGGGCCCAATCAGTGGAAGGGGCACCAGCCCATACGCTACTCTCCCTATATGCATATTACTCTTGGTTAGTTGGTTTACTTAATTAAATAAGGTAGAGACTTATCAAACAAGTATTTATTGTTCATATTCTCTCCACCTTTTGGCACATTATCCCACACACTCACTTTTTCTATTTTCTATTTAACATATTACTCTGTCACACACACTAAAACCACCAGCATTCTTTTATCTCTTTTCTTTATTTATCCTTCTCTTTGAACTTAATTATTATTACATCTAGATACATTATCCCTTTATACATATTTATCTTACTTAAAAAATTTATATTATTTGTTGTTAGCCATTATAATTAATTTATATATTATATTTAATTCACTTCTTAAAATTACTTTCAGTGTGATTTAATGTTGCTAGATAAAAAATTTATATATATTTTAAATATTTATTTTGTAAATGGTTGATTTTTCATTTTTATATGTTTTACCATTTTTTTAGTTATGTGTTGTGAGAGTTATTTGTTTTATAGCTCAAACATGACGATAAATTAACTAAAGATGATTAATAATAAATATTATATAAAATTATATTATTTTATGTATTTAAGATAATCTTGATAATAATTTAATTATAGTTTTACTTAATGATCTTTAGTTAACACATCATCATGTTTGAACTATTAAACAAATAATTCTTATGACATATAAAAACCACTTAAAAAAGTAAACCATATCAAATTTAGCAACTAATTAATATATGCATTACAAGGATATTACATGATATTTTGATTATGGTGATACAATTGATATCCTTTCCGCTAAAAATTCTATTGAAGCTTTGCAAGCGATTTTTCTACTACTATATTTGCCGCTAAAAAGGGTTTTTGTTGATCAAATTTGTTATTTGATGTATCGAAAATTTATAGTGAGACATTATCATTTTGTAACAGCACTCAAGGTATTATCCATTGGGAGATGCAAGTGTGTCATTAACCTTTATATGCGTGATGAATCGTGAGCTATTTTGATGAAGTTTTGCTTTACATGAAAGATTATATAAATTAATATGTTTAGGCAAAATAATTATTGGGGCATTGTTGATATCATATAAATACTCTAGTTTTTTCATACATATAAAATACTTAAAGGCACTATTTTTTGTATTTGGCCCAGGGCCAAATAATGTTTAGGACCGGCTCTGATGTCATTGAGTATACTAGTTTGGTGATTTCCGGGGTTTAATCACGATCTGTAATGCGGTGAATACCGCGGTAATTCCATTACTTGTATATGAGATGGACCAGATTGTTTAAGGTAGTCTGAATGAATAGCATAAAGATGCACAACTAAGGAATTAATATAATTGCTCTGGAAATAATATGTAGCTCAAGTGGGAGATTGTTAGGAAATATTTTATTTCCTATATATAATCTAATTATGGGCAACATATTATATACAATTATATTAGCTATTCAATTAATTATTGGACTCAATTAAGTGATCTAAATAAAGTAGAGTTCTAGGACTACGTAAATTGATATGGGCTAATGGGTGGATACCTAATATTACTAGGGTTAGGTGATAATGGGTGGCCTACCCTAGTAATATATAAAGACCCTCTTGGTTATGGTCCCCAATACACTAAATCAATCTTTTCTCCCCATCTGAAAGAAGACGTCGGTCCAATCTGAGAAATAAGACGATTTAGTCGAGGAAAGCCACAATACCAATTGATCCAATTAATCAATCGAGACCGTGTTCCGCAAAAGAAACTCAAAATTAATGGATCTAAGTATTTCTAATAATCTTTCAGATCTAGAGTGATGTTAATTTTCTTAGAATTAAAGCATGTTCTAGGATAATTGTTATTGAATTTATATTATGTGATTATAAATTCCTACATGTTTAACTATATTTCTGAAATATTTTCGTGAGTAAAGTTCGAAACTTTAATGAATAGAGTGAACCATCATAGAATGGTAGGAATTATGTGATTTTATAGTCGATTACGTTGCGAGAATCGATTAATGTTTGAGATTGGTTGATCGAGGAACGGCAATTTCTTGATTGCACATTTTCCGAACCTTTGTGTGTCTCCTTTGCATCTTGGGTTTTGGTCTGTTTAGTCTTTTTCTTTTATTTTTATTTCGTTGCGATCGTGTTATTATCTTGAGCTTAAATTAGCTTGCCTGCATTAGAATAAGTTTTCAGTTCCCACATTAGCTTAATACAAACAACCACATGCTATTAGAGTGTTTAAAACTTTATTTTCCGTTTTTGTGAATCAATAATTGTTTGAATTCAATTCCGAACAATCTTCATTTAGAGGCGACACGAGGTTGGTCTTCACGACCGTAGTCGCTAAAAACACTACAAAACACTAACTGAGCGCACGAAAGAAGCCAGCCATTCTATTAAAGTACTAATGTTAATTTCATCAAAAGTATAAACCACATGTCCCTTTGCATGTTGCGGAGTCCTAACCTTTTGGCTCTTGTTCAAAGGATACTGCGTATGATAGTGTGAGTCATATATTGGTATGACATAGTGTGTGATGGTGAGTCATGTCCAATTTGCGAAGTATAATTAGTTGATTTTTATAAAGAGGGGACCACATTTTTTTCAACTTACTATTTTGACTAGTAGTAAAGAAGCAAGTCATCTTCTAACTTTTGCCGATCTGTTTACCTATTCGTCAATTTATTCTCATTTTTTCTTGTCGATCTTTCATAGTTTGAAATATAAACACGCTATGATAACATCATTAAAAACCGCTCATCAACAGAATTTTAAAAGTCAGAAAAATGGTCTTCCCAAATTTAGTAATGTATATACTGTATATATATATATATATTTATATTAAGTATTTTAATAAAGTTTATAATTTTTACCTTGAGGAAGTAGTTCTTTATTTATATGTTATTATTCTTATTTGATCATTTTNATTGTGATAACTCAAAGACATAATGAACTCTGCTAAAATAAGAGGCTTTTTATTTTATGTTAAAACATAACCTACATGCTACAAGAGGTAATTTGTAACTTCGAGTATTTGTTTCCAATTCTACCAACCATGAAATCCATGATCAAGAACAACTAGTCCCATATTTGAATATTCAATTCAGAAAATGAGACAGTGTGATGCCAAGGCATCTCACTATGAGCATAACTAACATTGCAACAAAACACAAAACTTTATTACAATTTCTATATTGCATCCATGTAACTAAGTAAAAAAAGCCAAAAAGGACTTTTAAATCCCTACATTTGCTTATCATGACTATCCCAATATACCCTTTCCCAGTCCTCCACTTTCTTTATCCCATTATCTCTTTGCTCAATAACAGAATGGAGAGATGCTGGGCCGTAAGGCGGAGGCATCTCACACGGCCCGTAAGCCGACGGGCCCTTCACCAATGACTCAGTCATGAACTGCTTCTCGAAACCTTGCGCAAAGCAAGCCATCGACTCAGAACAAAGTTCAACGGCCTTTTGTGGCACAGTTGGCTTGTATTTCAAGAGCTTAGCGTACTCGCTCAAGAGATGGAACATGTAGTCATAAACATAGTCCATTTTCAGTTCGTCGAAAATGAATCTGCTTGCACCTTTACCAATTGCCCGAGCCTGTTAATCGAGTGGATAAGAATAACATTTTAGAAATATATATCATGGTAAGACTTTTAATTTTTTTGTAACCAAAATACAACATTTTTTTTTTCACAATTCAAGGGAACTTTTAATTTTTATTGATCTATGGAAATTGCATTTTGTGTGGCTGTTATAAATTTTGGGCTCTCCAACATGACCAAAACTACAATTTTAGAGCAAGAAATTTAGTTTGTTGGCTATATTACCGCTTTTCCGTGGCTATTTCCCCATTCGACCGCGTACTTAATGGACCTACATTTGTCGTCCTCCTTAATCGGCCAGTAATGTTTCAAAGGCATCAAACTTCTCGTGAAGAAGTCATAGTAGTGAGGCTTCACGAGCAAAGTTACGGAGTTGCAGGCCAGAATGTATTTCTCGCTCACCGACCATGCAGACCCTTCAATGTAGATTTTGTACCTGTTCAAAATAATTTTCATAAAAATAGGAAATTGTTTATCAAATGTGAAACATAAACATAGACCACAGAAAAGGGATTGTTATAGTTTTAGGGACGCCATATTATTACCTGTGAACGCATTGGCTTGCTAAGTCTGACTGCTTGTAGCCCTGTTTTTGTTCTTTTAACCAGTCCTGCAATATTATTATATTATTATGATGATTGTTACTACTTTTCTTTTCCCCTTTTCATATAAGCATTCTACTTTCGGTGCGACTTACACGAAGGTCCACGAAGGCGAAATAAAATGCAAAACTTTCGAAAGGAAGGTAATTTTGTTGATCTCAAAACGACAAAAAAAAAAAAAAAATATTAAAAAGAAACATAGAAATTTACCTGAGCATAGACCCGAGCATTCCAATCCTGTTTATCTGAAACATTACACTTGAGTAAATCCATCCGAGTAGCGGCAACCACTGGATTTCCCTTCCAATAAGCATGTGGATCTCTGTCACTCCATTTCATCCTCTTATTCCCCTCCTTCAACTCCTTCAACAACTGCTCCCATGGTTTTATATTGATCTCCGGCCTGCATTTATAAGTATTGTAAATGAATATCTTCCAAAAATACTCTATTCACTACTGCAATAAATACCAACCCAGCTTTATCCAATGTTGCAAGTCCCCCTTTAGAGGCGAACTTTAATGGGATTTTCTGCTAGCTAGCTAAGATCTCATGATATGGGTGTTTGTGGTGCTTTAAGAACTGATTGCATCTTTGAAAGATAACTGGATTTTGTTTCTTTCCAGTTAAGCAGAAGCTAAGTGTGTGTTTGTATATCAAAAAACTCAATTCGTATTCAAAATCTAACCCAAATTCAACTCAACTCTACTATCCTCAATATTATCAATATAATTAAATAATACCAACCAATCATTCTTACACATCAGATCTACTTTAATTCACTATTCATCCACTCACATAATTTTAACTAACCATCACTTCACATCATCTCTCTTCTACTTTAAAATAAAATCAATTTTAATTATTTTATTATAAATATTATTTAAATATAAACTCAAAATCCAACTAACCATACTATTTGTTTTCAAAATTAACTTTGTTTAACTAAAAATACTCAAAAGGATATATTTGTCTACAAACACACCCTAAAATGGATTTNAAACATACCATCCCCAAAACGACCAGTCGGGAAACACGATATCGTACGTCTCGTCATCCCCACAGTAGCGGAATAGAGGCGGCGGGGCCTGGTACTCCGGCCTGCTAAACAGTTGCTTTTTAATGACGGGCCAGTCAACGCAGTCAAACATGAGGTCCAAATCGGGCACCTTCCCTGGGTACCTCCTCAACAGCTGCAGAATTCCCCATAGGGTGAAAGTGTCCCGACTCTGGAAGGACTTCTTATACGTCTGCACATAGGCCCGGCCACCGACTATGACCAGCCGAAAATTAGCCGTGCGTGATGCACTCATCACCATCTCTTCAGTGATGCCAGTTTCTCTCCATGGCCACAGGTCTTCGTGGATCCAACGGAAGTAGTCCGGGCAGCTGCCTGATGGGGCCCACTTGGCCAGAAGTGGGGGGACTGTGGACGGGTAGTAGTGGGCCGGACAAATACGGGCCGGGCTGTTGTGAGTGCAGTTCAAGGGGATGTCTAGGAGTTGAGGGGGGGCATTTAGGTGTTGGGTTTGGGGGGAGTGGTGGTCTTTGGGTTGGTTGGCGGTTAGTGTCGGTTTTCGAGGGGAGTTCCTCTCTATGAGCTGCAAAGAGAGACATGATGATATATGTAAAAGAAACACAAACATTAAAAGCCTTTGAATGATAAAGGTTTCATTTTTTTTGCATATTTTTTTGGTTAAGAACTCATTAGGTCTATTATTGTTGATTTGTCATCTCTCAAAAGAAAACCTCACTGGAGATGGTCTGTCTGGTCTTTCAAAAACACTTTTTAGGCTGACACTCTATGAAAAACACAATTTCTCCCCTTAATACTTCTTTCATTAGTGCCTATGCCAATCTTACCTTGTCTATTTTCACAAACTAGCAAAGTTCACGTGCGTGGTGGTGAATATTGTTGGTCGATTAAATTTAGTAACATAAATTAATTCATTCATTAGACATATCATTGTAGGAACAAAGTAAAATGTAGAACAAATTGGTGCCTATCCCATGGAGGCATCACTCCATGGGGTGGGAAAGAATTTCATCTCCAAATAAAAATTGACTTTCCAAAATCTTGGTTACATGTGCTCCTCCGAGGCGCTATTTTTTTTTTTTTTTTTTTTTTTTTTTTTTTTTTATACAAGTACGTATTCTAAAGTAATTGCACATATGTCGAGCATAATATACCAATGAGATTGTAAATATCCATATAAAAAAGTGACAGCTTAATTCAAACATTCAAAAAATGTTTTGATCAAGCTATGATATTCTCTTTTCAATGTTATTTATTTGGAAGATAGACGAACTACATAATCTATTGTTTGCAAATCATTAACCATTTTGGTTGTTGCAATGATTTTAGAGTTGTTTGTCAGAATATTTTCACATATTGTTCGGATTTTCAATATTTATGTGCCTAAAAAGTTCTTTAATTCTTTTATTGTCCAACTTTTTGCATCATATGTAACATAATATTTAAAAAATTCAAAATAAAGATCCTTTCTTGATTCTTCAACAATGACAAAACAAAACGTTACAATGAAACAATATTGAGAAACATATCATATGTCAAAATATTTTAGAAGAGAATAACTAGAATTCTATTATATTATGATATGATACTCTCAGTCATCTGTGAACTTTATATTACAAAGTCATTATTCAAATCTACATTATGTATTATGAAATTTATAACTTTTAAATTATTTAAAATTCAAAATTGATAACATAATATCATTAATAATGAGAACTAATTTCTTACAGAGTCCATATATTTAAACGCTACAAACACAAAAATAGTAATTTTAACAGACATTTGTTTCTAGATATTCGTGCTTATAATTCTCTGAAAAAAATCAGACATTTTCTTTTTCCTATTAAATTACTACTGTTCTACTTAGTTTCTTATTCTATTCACGAATAATATTTTATGTATTGAAAGAATTAGAGCACATTCAAATAAAATAAAATATTTAATATATAAAATTTAATTCTCATTGTTTATTTAACGCCCATCTTGAAAATCAATGGCCGAAATAAAATATAATAATTAAAATATCATTGTTAATTATTGAATGAAAAGTTCAAATATTTTAAGTAATAATATATAAAATATTAATCAACTCGATATTAACCCCTTAATGAGGTGAAGATTCGTTAAGATTATTGGCCTTGGATCCAAAATTGAAAAAAAATAAATAAATAAATGAGAATTTTTGTGGTATCAAAATTCGTTCCAATAAGATTAAAGTGCAATTTTTAATTCTAATTCTAAATACAATTATTTTTCTTAAATAATGAAGTAATTAAATGAGTTGTTCCACTTCTCTAATTTGTTAGATTATGTACATATTTCTTCTGATGAATGATTTTTGGATAAAATTTTAGCCATCTTCTCTTAATTAAAGTCAAATATGTATATTTGAAATTATTTATTATATACAAGTTATCCCTCAACTAAGTTGTCAATTTTTTACCAAGATTTATCGTTTTGTTAAAATTGACAACTAATAATTGTGTAAGTTAATTAGGAATGAAGAAGATGATGTATTTGTACAAAGAAGAGAGAGAATGTGAAATACCCTTAGATGAGTTGGTCATAATATGAGTTGGCTATTTTATTCTAACTAGTTAACCTGACTTATTAACTAATTAACCTAACTAATCTAACTGTGCTAACTAATCTTTGGTTTATTAATGAAAATATTATGATATATTTTGGTTAATTATTGAATGAAAAAGTTCAACTATTTTAAGTGTTAATAATTAAAAATTACTTTCCTTGATATTAACCACATAATGGTCAGGTAAAGAACTTTATTGCCTTTGGGACCAAAATTAGAAAATACAAACAAACAAACAAATAAATAACGACTTTTGTGGGATCAAAATTCAATCCAATAAGAATAAGGTGAAACTTATATTTAATTCTAAATACAAGAGTTAAATTTCATAAATAATGAAGTATAAATGAATTGTTTCACTTCTTTAGTTTGTTAGATTATGTATACATTACGTGAGTGCATGATTTCAGTAAAATTTTAGGCATCTTCTCTTGGTTAAAGTTAAGTATGTATTTTTGAAATTATTTATTATGTACAAGTTATTTCTCAACTAAGTTGTCATTTTTTACCAAGAGTTGTCGTTTGTTAGAATTGTAGGTAGGTAAATAAATAGTTAAAAATATTTGAATTATTTATAAGTATTTATTATGATATTTTTGTTGGATCAGTTTTTTTCAAAGAAGTTTTATATATTAGAATTATTAAATATGATTACGATTTTACCAATAAAATTATATTAAAAATAAGAATATATTACAAAACAAAAATTCTAATCTTTTTAAAGCTTTGTTAATTGGGTTGATGTTGGGTTGATTTTTGAGAGATATAGACAAAAACAGTTTGAGGGATGTATAGAAGAAAGCAAATCGTGAACAATAATGGTGTGAGAATAGTGTGGTTGATTTTTAAGAGATGTGGAATGTTTTGTTCGTGAATTTATATGTAATAACTAAATACTAGTTATTAATGAATAATATACGATATGATGGGTAATAGTGTATTACTAATTTGCCATTAATAATATTTCAAAGTAAAGATTTTTAAGGTAAAATAGTTATTAATAATTAAAAATATAAGATATGATAAATATTAATGTAGTACTAATTTGTCATCGAAATAAGAGTTTTTAGGTAGTTCATTTTCTTTTACAAAATTAACGTAGTACTAATAGTCCAATCGTATAGATAGATATTAGATACTCCCTCCTATTTTTAATATTTGTCATTCTAGTTTAATTGATCATTTGTTAAATAAATGTCGTTTTGGCTATTTTGTTCATATTTTTCCCTTTTAACCCCTCCATCAATACCCATTGTCCCTTCATATTCCCAAGAACATCCATCCACAATTGTGTCATTAAATAGGGTTAAACTTGGAAAGAAAAATATTTCTTAATTAGTGTGTTGATAGCGAGGATGACAAATATTTAAAATAGGAGGGAGTATATATTAGTGACCTCATTAACATCATAAAACAAGTCATCTTTTATGGTTTTTATGGTTTTCACCACATATTATAGAGATTTTTTAAATTTATTATTGAATTCAATTAGTTCTCTTTCCTAAGTAAAACTTATTTCCTCTTTTAACAGTTGCAACTTCAATGCTTCAAAATGCAAGTTCGCTGACTTTCTTTTCTGAACAAAATTAAAATGTTGCACACTTGCTATAATCATTTGTCATTTTGCAGAAAAAAATCTTTTCAAATTTCTTCTCATTTTCTCATTAATAAACAATTTTCAAATTATTATTTAGAAATGTGTAAGTTTGGGAAGCAAAATTATCATGATTATAGTTTATTTAAAATATTATGTGAAATTTTGCATGCAAATAACAATTAGAAACTTTCAGTCAATTTTGATGATCTGAGAAGAACCTTGGAATATTGGTCATGAATTACACTTTCTGAAAAAAAATTTCAAGGACCGGGAAATATGAGGGGCACCACGTATTCTTCATAAGATTCAATAACAATTAATGTATTACCCCACAAAGAAAAATATTGAAGGGAACAAGATGTACAGAGCAAAATAAATAAGTCAAACTAGAAAAAATAGACATAATCATCTAATTTCAAAAAATATAAATACATGGGAAATTAGCAATTAATTAAGTCTTCACTTGTACAGTACAATTTGTACTATTATATGTCATACCAATGGCGAACTACACTTTCAAGAGACAAAAACAAATCGCGTACTTATATTATTTCTCAGTTTTAATAGATAGTCGTGGACTTACGTTATCTCTCAATTGAACATAATATTTAAAAAATTTGTAAATTGGAAAATGCATTTTTCTTCCAACGACACGTTTTCCACTGAATTGTACTACCACCAACCTCAATCTCAATGAATAAAATAAAAATAAAAAAAATAAAAAAGAAAAAGGAAAACTGATTTAGGAAATCTCACAAAAAAAGCTCAACATTAATTTCCCATAAAATTTTCCAAACTTAAAAATATTTACGGACTGAAAAACCAACTTCAGCATTAGTTTCTGGAAGTTAAGTACTTAAATTTATTATGAAATCTTCATTTAACCAAAATCACCAGCTATATATTTCTACATATGGTTGCACATTAGTGATTTAATTTTTTTTCCCAAAATTATTCAACGACATATCATTGTTTACCTAAGAAATGGTGACGGTCAAAGTTGAGCTCTGTCGGCGAGTACCAAAACAGAAAACAAAAACGAAATAATAATTAAAAAAAAAAAAAGGGAAAGAGACTTACAGTGACCGAGGAGTCGAGGTAGCGCGTGCAAATGAACGCGCCGACAGTGAGCACGGCGAAGAACAGAGCCGCCAGCGAAGATCTCGGAAGAAGCCGCCGGATCGCCTCCATCCTTTTGAAAAGAGTCTCTCAGAAGATCCAAATCCCACTCTCTGCTTTTGTTTTGCTATAATTGGATAAATTTAATTAATACACAAGCTGTGGGAAAGTGAAAAAGGTTATATATCTGAAGAGGTATACAAATAGTTGAGTTTAACTTCTATTCTTTGTCTTCAGTCGTTTAAGGTAGTCATAAAAACTGATACGATGGTCATAAAAACTAAACAGTAATGTTTTCGGTGTATTTTTGTGGCTTGTGGGATTTGGTGAGCTACCTTAAGAGATTGAGAGAGAGAGAGAGAAAAGAGTAGAAAAATGATGGGATCATGTGGCTTTTTTAGGACATTGTAGCTTTGTAGGGTACTGGCAAACATCCACCAAAGCACAACTGGTATTGTGTAAATACCTCTTTACGCTTCAAGTTTTAGCTAGATAGGTTGAAAGTGTGTTTTATATAATAGGAATTATAGATATATCACCTAGACATGGCCACGTGCCGAACCGGCCCGCAACCCGGACCGAAAACCGGTACCGAATTGGCCCGGACCGACCCGTAACCGGCCATATAAACCGCGGTTCGGTCCAGGTTCAAAAGAAAAAAAATTTTGTCCCGGCCAGGTCGGGCCACGGGCCGACCGCCGGCAACGGTTTCTATCCTTATTTGTTTTTTATATAATCTTTAAATTTGTCGGGTCGGGCTGGGTCAACCGGACCGACCCGGCGTCACTGCAGTGCCCAGATGTGCCCATACCGCATTACCGCATATATCCGTTGGGCTCGGTTGGACAACGGTTCGGGCCGGTCCACGGACCCAACCGTAAAAAAAAAAAAAAANGCCTGTCCGGCCCGCCGGTACGGACCGTGACCCGGCGGCTCCACGAAATAAAAAAAATAAAAAATTAAAAAAATTAAAAAATTCAGAAAAATTTAAAAAGAAAAATTTAAACCTCATTTTTTCCCTATAAACCCCCTCCCCTCCACATTTTTTACACCGAAATCTCATTCTCTCTTCTCTCTAATCTCTATTCTCTATTCTAGTCTCTCTCTTACTCTATATTCTTCTCACTCGGTTTTTAGTGATCGGTTTTTAGTTTTGTGTTCGGTTTCCAAAAAAAAAATCAAAAAAAATAATAAAAATCCAAAAATAAAAAAAATACCACATCTCCCCATTTATATTTATTTCATCATATTCTATATAATTTTCCCCAATTTATTTTTTACTCTTTAAATTATAAAATGTCGAGCTCTCGTGGTGGTTGTGGTTCGAATTTCAGACAGAAACGTAGAAATATCGGCACCGGCCCGTCTTCGTCGAGACCTCCATTGCCGGAATTTGCGAGTCCATCGATACATGTGGATATTCCCGGTGTCGCCGATGACATTGATGAGGCGACGATCGAGCCATGTTTGGCTCAATTCAGCCTGAGCAACATGAGCAACAACAGCCGTATCACGACCATTTCGATGATAGATTTGGAGAGTCCCCGCCGGAGGTTCAGCAACCGACACAGCAGCAATAGCCGGACCTGGAGGTCCCGGACCCGGCTTCTGTCTTCGCCCGTGGCAGACCGGCATCTGCCATATTCAAACAACATTACACGAAGGTGGCCAATCCGACAAGAGGTGAGAATCACTTTTTAGCTGTTTGCAACTACTGCCCGGCGAACGATAGGAAGCAGTACCATTTCAAAAAAGGCGACGGGTACGGATCATTGAAACGACACTTAGAGAGGAATCATCCGACAAAATTGGGAATTGACAGGACACAGACGCAACTCTCGAGTAGTAGCGCTGCATCTGCCACGATTGGTACATGTACGCCATCTTTATTTCAGTACTCACATGAAAATCATCGACGCCATTTAGCTGAATTTGTTTCTGCTTCATCTCTTCCGTTTAGCTTTGGTGATAGTGATTTATATGACCATTTTGCTCAAATGGCTTTGAATCCGGCTGCTCACCGGGTTCCACGTACTACTCTTACTCGCGATATTTGAAAAATAGTGGCGGAAAAAAAAGTAATTTTGCAAAAAACTTTTAAATCTTTAAATCATATAGTATCCATTTGTGCTGATATCTGGTCTGATCATTGGCAAAATAATTTCTATTTGGGAAATACTTGTCATTGGATAGATGAAAATTGGAGTTTACAAAAACGTTTAATTGCTTATGTTGCATTTCATGAACGACACACTGCTTCTAATCTCGTTTAATTTCAAAAATTTTGGATAAATATCAAATAGGTAAAAAAGTGTTTTCCATTTTGTTTGATAATGCTACTGCAAATACTGCATCTATACGTGAACTTACCGATATTTGCATTCCAATTTGCGGAGGAAGATTTTTTCATATTCGTTGTATATGTCATGTCTTAAATCTCTGTGTACAAGCTGGTTATCATGCTTTTAAAGATTCGATCACACCAATTAGGGACGCTGTTAATTATTTACATAAACGTCCCCATGAAATGAAAGCATGGGGACGTTTTTGTAAAGATCAAGGGGTGAAACCTAAAAAATTTCAACCCGACGTTCCTAACCGGTGGAACTCAACATTTAAAATGTTGAGTGACACGGTTCTGTTTATGACACAATTGAAGAATTTTTTTAACCATTCAAACCGTAAGGACTGTGATGTCCGAGTGTCAACAAGAGATTGGGAGAACTGTAATGCACTTATTCAATTTTTAGAAACATTTCAAAATGCTACTGACATGCTTTCAGGTGTTTATTATCCTACTGCTCAGCTTGTGTTAAGTCAAGCTATAGCCATAATGTGGGCTTTCAAGGATCTTTACGACTTGAATTTTAATAAATATGCTATTTAGTTGAGGAAATGTTAAAGAAATGGTTAAAATATTATTATTTCATTCCTGATACACATTTAGTTGCATGTTTGTTAGATCCTTCGGTATGTGAAGCTTGCTTTGTAGAGCAGCTTAACATGTACTATAATTATATATATGAACTCCCAATCCCGACTGATGTCCCGACATACAGTCAAAAACCTAACGTACTGCTGCTCGTCGAGCAAGCAAAAAATTTGTTGTATGACATGTTTAGGGAAACAACGATCGCACAAGGTGAACCTCCCAGCACATTTGTTCGTGGCGGCGGGGGCAGCAACAGCGGGTCTTCTTCTTACGGCGATAGTCAAGTAGGCGCTTCGAACTATAAGGAATGGTGGGCTTCATTAAATCCCTACAAGAATGCTGGTGTTGAAAGGGCAAAGGGAACTGGATACTATGAGCTTGATCACTACCCAACGTTGAATTTGATACTTACGATTGGTCGTGATCCAAGTCCGCCACTTAATTTCGATGTCTTGGACTGGTGGTCGAGAATGCAAGGCATATATCCACATTTTCTTATAAGTGGTACCTGTTTTTAGTCGATCAGTACCTACTTTTGTGAAGGATAATTGATTATTTCAACTGTGGTCAACATTTAAAAAAAGTAGTACTAGTCATAGAATAAAGTAGTACATGATTTAGGGATCTAGTACCGCTTTTGGAGTCTTCAATACCACTTGTAGTGAACACATAGGAACATCTTATATTGGTCGAAAATGATGTTTATACGACCTATAATCACTCTCACATTAGTTTATATGAGATTTAAAATGTTATTCGTTGAGCTTAATCATAAAATGGTCATGAACTCTACACACTAATGAGAAAAATACTACTACTACACTTCACTTCATGGAATGAAACACTTCATCTCATAGAATCATCATACATGGCTACTCCAATTTCTACCTATATGTTTTAACTTCCACTATTTTTCATCCAAATCACGCGTTAACGATCCACGTGACATGGTAGACATGAAGGATTAGAAATATCATGATTCTTGCAATAGTACCTGATTTAGACATAATATTACCGCATTTTCTTATACGTGGTACCTGTTTTTAGTCGATCAGTACTTACTTTTGTGAAGGATAATTGATTATTTCAACTGTGGTCAACATTTAAAAAAAGTAGTATCAGTCATAGTGTAAAGTAGTACCTGATTTTAGGGATCTAGTACCGCTTATGGAGTCTTCAGTACCACTTGTAGTGAACACATAAGAACACCGAATATCGGTCGAAAATGATGTTTATACGACCTATAATCACTCTCACATTAGTTTATATGAGATTTAAAATGTTTTTCGTTGAGTTTAATCATAAAATGGTCATGAACTCTACACACTAATAAGAAAAACACTACTACTACACTTCACTTCATGGAATGAAACACTTCATCTCATAGAATCATCATACATGACTACTCCAATTTCTACATATATGTTTTAACTTCCACTATTTTTCATCCAAATCACGCGTTAACGATCCACGTGACATGGTAGACATGAAGGATTAGAAATATCACGATTCTTACAATAGTACCTGATTAGACATAATAGTACCACATTTTCTTATACGTGGTACCTGTATTTAGTCGATCAGTACCTACTTTTGTGAAGGATAATTTATTATTTCAACTGTGGTCAACATTTAAAAAAAGTAGTAAGAGTCATAGTGTAAAGTAGTACCAGATTTTAGGGATCTAGTACTGCTTTTGGAGTCTTCAGTACCACTTGTAGTGAACACACAGGAATATCGAATATCGGTCGAAAATGATGTTTATACGACCTATAATCACTCTCACATTAGTTTATATGAGATTTAAAATGTTTTTCGTTGAGATTAATCATAAAATGGTCATGAACTCTACACACTAATGAGGAAAATACTACTACTACACTTCACTTCATGGACTTCATCTCATAGAATCATCATACATGACTACTCCAATTTCTACCTATATGTTTTAACTTCCACTATTTTTCATCCAAACCACGCGTTAACGATCCACATGACATGGTAGACATGAAGGATTATCACAATTCTTACAATAGTACCTGATTTAGACATAATAGTATCACATTCTCTTATACGTGGTACTTGTTTTTGGTCGATCAGTACCTACTTTTGTGAAGGATAATTGATTATTTCAACTGTGGTCAACATTTAAAAAAAGTAGTACCAGTCATAGTGTAAAGTAGTACCTGATTTTAGGGATCTAGTACCGCTTATGGAGTCTTCAGTACCACTTGTTGTGAACACATAGAAACACCGAATTTCGGTCGAAATGATGTTTATACGACCCGTAATCACTATTACATTATTTTATATGAGATTTAAAATTTGGTTAATTAACTTTAATCTCAAATTAGTCACGAACTCAACACACTAATGGAAAAACAATACTAAATACACTTCTGGTACCAGTTTTCATCGAGATAGTACCTGTTATTATTCCACGCAGTACCTGATATTGATAAATTAGTACCTACATTCGGTCAACCAAGATGGAATATTTCAACTGTGGTCAACATTTATAAAAAGTAGTACTAGTCATGGTGTAAGTTAGTACC